GGCAATGCTTGTTTCTTCTTCCAAATGTAACACTTAGATAAGTCTGTGTGTGAGGAGTAGGGACAGGGTAGAATGGTCAGGAGTGTCACACTAATAGATATTCCTTCTCAAAGAAGGAGCTATTACAGGGGTGAAGAAGCTTTCTCCTCTAGACATAGGTCATCAAATCTAGAGAGAGCTCAACCAGAGTTCTGGCTGCAGTATGTCAAGATGATCTGTTCCCCAGAGCGTTTTGTTGTGGAGTGATAGGAAGAGTCAGGGATGTTGTATGGTGACCGGAGTTGGAGAATGACTGCCCTTGTTCTACGGATAGAGACAGATTGAGATATAATTCACATAATATTAAATTCACCTTTTAAAGTGTTCATAGCATACTAAACATACAGTGATTTTTTCCAATAGTCTGAATATTTTTGTACCCATCACCACTATCTAGTTCCAGAACATTTCTGCCACCCCCAAAAAGGGTCCCTCTCTCACAATTCCCTTTATCAGTAGTTCCCCATTCCTCACCTGTCCCTTCCCTCAGGGGCCAGGTCAGGGTCAAGGCCACTATAATGTCCTTGTCCTTTCCCTCATGGTTTCAAGAAGGCTGCTATAGCTCCATCATGATATTCATTCTACAGTCAGGAAGAGAGAGGAAAGGCTATACGGGCAAAACCCCTGGCTGAGTCAGTCCTGTCAATGAGCTTTCCTGAAATCCTCAAGCAGCAATCTGTCTCACATCTCAGGGCCACTCCTCTTTCAAGGAAGATGGGAAACACAGAAAGGCATGTTGCTGTCCCAAGTAAAATCAGAGTCTGTTAGAAAGGTAGAAGAGAAAGATGGATTTTGTGTAGGCAGCTGGCAGTGTCTGCCACAGATGTTCATATATTAAATAAATTTAACTGAATAATTATTACATTCTGTATTCTTTCCCAAGTAGGGACACAGAAGGACATATTACAGAGTCTTTGATCTCCATGGTTTCAACCTCAAAACATTAGATCAGAAACCAAGACAAGCTAAATTTCTGTTAAGTACACATTAAATCTTTCACACATGAAAGATTTATTTCAGTCTTATGATTTTTTTTTTTTTGTCCATCTGTCACTGCCTAAAGTAATGGGCAACACTTCCATTTTTGACCCAGTTTGTGAAGCAATATGAACTTAGCCTAAAGTTACGTCTCTTACACTTAAATGGCAGTTCTTTAGTTCTAGCATTTTAGGATTTGTTCAATAAATATATGTGTGCCCTTATCACTCACAGTTAAAAATACTACCAGCAGTGCACCTAGATGGCTCAGTTGGCTAAGGGTTTGACTTCAGCTCAGGTCATGATCTCACAGCTCTTGGGTTTGAGCCCCCATTGGGCTCTGTGCTGACAGCTCAGAGCCCGGAGCCTGCTTCAGATTCTGTGTCTCCCTCTTTCTCTGCCCCTCCCCACCTCCCGTACGCGCACGTGCGCTCTCTCTCTCTCTCAAAAATAAATAAACATTAAGGAAATTTTTAAAAAATAAAAATATAAAAAAAAATCATCACTAGATCTTGCTCCTCTAAGTTCTATAAGATGACCGATTTTCTTTCTTTTCCATTCTTGTGGTTGTATTCAGTTTTTTTTTTTTTTTTTGGTCAACCTAGACATTATCTAGTGGCTTCTCACTATCCTTTGTATCATAGTATCATATATACTATGTATGTATACAGGTAATGTTAACTTTAAAACTGCCAGTTATTTTGCCAGCAAAAATGGATTTATTTGGGAATAAAAGAGAATTATAAGTCAGGACAAACAAGCTGGGTCACAACCTTAGATGAGCCTGGGCAACAAAGGAACACATGATTTTTTTAAGGAGAAAACGGGTACGTTGGGAAAGCTGTTAAACAGAAAGTCCACTAGCGTAAACTGGGAGCTACAAATATGGTGCTTCTCATTGGCTGAGCTGTTGCCCTGGATGGGACAGGGGTGGTGCTGAGGAAATGTTTCTTTCTTGGGCTGGAGTAGTAAAGTAGTATCCACGTGCATGGTCCAGTACGTGTAAGGTCAAGTCTCTCCTTTCCTGTTGGGTCTGCAAATGACTACCAGTGGTAGGGCATGAGAGCTCCCTCTGCTGAAACCTCCTGAATCCATTTTAGTGAAATTTCCCATTACTAATTTTCACAGCGCTATGTATTATCATTTAGGTAATGTTCTGCTAGAATCAACACAGAATTCTTGAAATTCTTTTCAACTCTGGAATGCAGTAAATTTATCATCACTTTGAAATAAAGTCTAATCAATATGATATGTGTATTTGCAATATTAATAGCAAATTACTACACGAGAGTTAAATATTTCACTTAAGTATGTATCAGCTGGTTTGTCTTTCATTCATTTATTCAACAACTATGTGCCAAGTCCTGGTCTAGGTTCTGGGAACACAGTGGTGAACAAGACAGAATAGAACTTACAGTGAAGACAGGAAATTTTTTAAAAAGCAAATAAATGCATTGTAATGTCATATGTAATCAGTACTATGCCTATACAGGAAACATGGGGTGCATTGCTGTTTTAGGTGAATTGGTCAGGGGACATATTTCTAAGGAGATGATATCTGTGCAGAGACTTGAATAATGAGAAGATCAGAGGAAAGAGCATTTTAGGCAGAGGGAATGATACATGCAAAGACTGTGAGGCAGGAATATGTTTGGCATGTTGAGGAGCACAAAGGAGGCAAATTCGGCTGAAATGGAGTGTGCCACGAGAGGAGTCCTAAAATAAGAGGTAGACAGACTCATCAGAGGGAGTCTGCAGGCTGTGGCAACCAGGATACCTTTTATGTTGAGTGTAATGGGGAGTCAGTACAGGGTTTTAAGCTGGGGATGAAAATGATTTGACTTTACTTAAGACAATCACCTTAGGTGTTTTATAGAGACTAGACTGTAGGACAGCAGAACTAGAAGCACAGAGGCTAGTTAAGGGGGCTGTTGAGAGATTATGATAATTTGGACTAGGACATGAAAACACCATTACCCATTTTTCTAGAAACAGTTGAATCAGAACTATTATTATTATTATTATTATTGTTGTTGTTATTTTAGTGAGTCTTAAGTGAAGTTTGGGGCTAGAAATAATTTGTAAAGGGAGTGCAATGACATGTTTTTGGATATTTAGCTAAGTGACAGTCTAAGGAGACCAGGGCCGCTCTGACACCAGGGGAGGTGTTTTTGCCTTTTCATTGTCTGTAGCTTCTTTCATGTAGTGCTGCTGACTTGTAAGATAGGTGAAGCAACATTGCTATGCAAGGTCATGATTTATTACCAACATGAACTTGAACAGCGTCACTGGGAAATGCATCTGATCTGCAGGACCCTATGAGACTTTTCCCCTTTATGATGCAATTCTTGATCGGAAATAAAAATCCTTTTCAAACCTTTCCCAGGCCTTTCTTTGAGGTAGTGCCAACCATCGGTTCTAAACTGTAGTGGGCATGTGAATCACCTGGAGAGCATGTTAAAACCAGATTCTTGGATTCCACCTGCAGAGCTTCTGTTTCTGTAGGTCTGGGGAGGGGCCTGAGATTTGATTGTCTAAAAAACTCAGGTTCTGCTGGCGCTGCAGGGCATTGGAATACTCTTTGAATAGCAAAGAGCTGGGCCAGATGTTTTCCATTTCTGGTTACTTCAGTTGCCTGGCTTTCTTTTCATAATGCTGACATTGTGTGTGTGTGGGAGGGGGGGGGGCGGTGGTGCTCACTGAGAAGGACCTCAGGGGAATATCCTCAATACAGCCTGGACCAAAACCTTCAAGTCTTCTTGGTCAGCGTCTTTTGGGATCTGCTCATGCTTAGGATAAAACAACTGCACACTTTTCACTAGTGCTGCCTGTTTTCTCTCCTGTTTTGTCCCTCTCTTCTACATGTCCTGGTTTAGCTCAAGTTTCTCTTTGAAAGTTCTGCCAGTTCCTTTTATGTCTGCAAGCTACTCTCTTTCCCTCCCTCTATCTAACAAACTGCCTTTCTGATTCCCCTTCAGATCAATACTTGCCACTCATCATTTCTCCTCACTTTGTATGTATCTTTTAAACTATGTTTTATAGCCCTATAAAAATTCCATTTGTGATGTATCCTGTCTTTATTGCTTTACTATGCTTTTCCTTCATTTTCATTTGATACCACAATATGCTATTGTCAGGAAACAAGTGATGCCCCCTGTTATTATAAATCTGCTTACAAAATATATAAGATTATCTAAGCCATTGATCCCTTCTATCTCTTTTTAAAGCAGGCTCAGTTGCTGTAGGTGGAAGCACTATCTTGTGGCCTCTTTGAATATTGGTTTGATCTATCGCTTATGATTTCCCAATGTATTAAAAAATATTTTTTTCAGTTGAGGTATAATTTAAATTCAGTAGCACTCACCCTTTTTAGCGTACAGTTGAATGAGTTTTGAAAAATGCATACAGATCTGTAACCCTCACCACAGATGAGATGCAGAGCAGTGCCTTCACCCCAGAAAGGTCCTTCTTGCCCCTTTACAGCACCCCTTCTTCCTTCAGCCCTTGGCAACAGCTCGTCAGTTTCCCATCCCCGTAGTTTTGCCTTTCCAGAATGTGGAATTAAAATGGAAACAGAAATGTTTTTATTACATTCTAACTTGAATTTAGTCCTTGCACTTAAAGAAGAAATTCTAAAAGCTGAGGATGTATAAATTTTATGCCAAATATACTCAACTGTCCTTGTGATCAGTAGTTTGTTTTGTTTACTTTTTTGAAATGGAATGAGTATGCAGTGTGGCATTTCATGATTCTTTGGTTTCAGAATATTACTATCTTTCTCCAAAAATAGTCTTCCTTTTTCATTTTTATTTTAAAAGAAAACAATTTTTAAAAATACTTTCTGAATATGTTCAGACGTAAAAGGTTTTGTTCATTTCATTTACTTACTATTTAATGGACTAGATAAAAATTAGGTCAGGAAATATATACCTTTTTTTAAAGGTAGACAAACTGACATTTCTTTTCATCTTTTTTTAATACAGGTGTTTGCTTCAGAATGGTAAGTCAGTAAGTCTGTTCACTATTTTTTTTTTTTTTTTTGCCATTTTCTCCCTACTGTTATTTCTATTCACAGACATAGAGCAGTTTTCTACTTAGTGCTAGCCTACTGCTTATTTTCCATCCTTGACAGCAAATGAAGTATTTGTATTTCTTCCAAATTACTGCTTGAAGTTTTTGATTAAAGCTGTCTTTTAAAAGTAGTCTATTAAAAACATTTCAGCCTGCCTCGTTTTTAGTTAATGTTTTGTATGAATTTCAAAAGTACTTCTACTGGGATAATCAAATTAAATGTTTTGGTTAGGTATATAGAATACAAAGTATGGGATCTTCCCCTTGTTCTGGATCGAAGAACCCCCTCCAGGCAAATGTCTGTATCTTGAATTGCAAAATGAAAAATGCTCATGTTGCATAAGGAAGTGGTTCTCGGTTTTTAGAAGTTAAGACTCCTTATTGCTTTACATTTTTTAATTTTGTTAATATACTCTTTTCCTAAAAGTTAAATGTGCGTGTGTTTTTACCTACTATTTCAGCTGGCAGTCGCTAGCTTATTACCTGTCTGTTCTTAACCTCTGAGGGTTCTAACATGTTCCCAACCAGTAAAGTCTCCTTGTTTTGAGATAGCCCCTCCCCCCACAGTTCAGATTCTCTCTCTTTTCATTATTATTTTCAGAACTGGCTCCAACATAAATTCTGGCTATAACCATCTTGGGTTGTATTGCTTCATTTAATTGGGGATGTAGAGTGTATAGATTCTTGGTCACTTTGACCTCCAAACAGAAGACCATATTTTTAAAAATTTCCAGTAGATGAGATCTACAAGAATTTAGTATGATATAGTTAAAATAGTTCAAAATCAAAATGTTCATTTGCCAGTAGCATAACTGAATTTGGAACTGAGAAAAGGAATTTTTAAAAACTGTTAAGAATAATAGGAGAAATAAACTTATCTATAGACAATTAACAACGTGTGTGTGGCAAGTCCACAGCCAATGGAAGACATCAGAATCTTTTAATTGAATTCTTTGTATTGATCATAACTCCGTATTTTTCCTCAGTGATTGAAAATCTCAGAGTGATCATCTTTTGGAACCAGACAATGTAATTCACTGTTAGCAGGCATGGGGGCAATGCAACTGAATTTTATGGATCCCAAAACACATCACGGAAACTGTTTTCTGAAGTAATTCCCACTATCAGTTTATTGTTTTATAATGTGTTTGTCTTTACTGAAAGTGGAATTTACTAAAAAATACCACTTAAGTGAGGATTCCTGTGAACAGAGGTATGATTGTAGGTCAGCTACACAATTTTTGGCATAGACTATATTTTAGGAAAGAAAATTGTCAGTTTTTGATGTTGGATTTTGTTTCTCATATTTTCTCCTGAAACCAGTACACAGAAGATGAGGCTAGGAAAATAGGAGTGGTTGGCTGGGTGAAGAATACCAGCAAAGGGACTGTGACAGGCCAAGTGCAAGGCCCCGAAGACAAAGTCAACTCCATGTAAGTAGCAAGACTAATAATGCACTTATGCAATTTATGAACTTTTTTTAATGCTTCATTGGACAGTAAGAACAATATTGATGGACCAAATTCAGTTTGTGGATATAACTCAACTCACATGTTTTTAGGCATACTGGCAAGGATGTCCTCAGATCTGGGAATGGAATTTGTACATGTAGGAATGGATTTCCCACTTGGGCAGGCCCTCAAAAAGAACAATAGTGTCACTCTCTAGTCTATTTGAATTGAGTTCTGTCTCTTCTAACCTGGGAGAAGCATCCTGGGCCCACATATCTCTTATCCAAAGTAGTTGTGAAGAAGCATAGTGCCTTTGGATGGTTCTTAAAGTTCTTAAAGTAGACTTCAAGGCAAAAAGGCTGCCCTCTCCTTTTTAAGTATATTATTTATGTAATTATAATTTTATTTTTGCTGTTGATGAAAGTGTATTCTGTGAGCTATATGGTTATGATAATGAATCCTTGTATTCCAAAAGAGATCAGATTCAGTAACATAGAAAAAAGTGCCCTGTCACACTCAAAAGCCTTCTTTTTTTGTAAGTTCCACTACTCTTTGTAGTCTTTTTTTTCCTAATAAAAAAGAGCTAACATTTATTGAGTATCTGCAATGTTAGACAATATGCTAAACACTTCACATAGGTTTTCTCGTTTAATCTACACAATGGATCTTATCATACCCAATTTAATTCATTTTATTGTTTGCAGTTTATTTTTGTTCTCATTAATGTTTTTAGATTTCAAGGTAATATTTTTTTGATTATTGTAATAAGTGAAGTAGTAAGATGCTGAGAGATAAAAAAAAAAAAATTAAGCTAGTAATCTGCCCCATTCCCCTCTGCTTCCCTCCCCTTGATGGCACCTGTGCCTGTGGCTTTGTGAATACTTTCTGAAGCTTTCTCTTTCACTTAAAACTATTTAAGCATTTATTTAGGGTTTGGTTATTTTTACTGAAATAGAATACTTGATGCATATTCTTCTGTAACTAGTTTTTTCATTTTATAGACATTCATCAATCAGTAAATATATAAACACTGACTCCTTATTTTTCCTAATTTTTTTATGCATAAGTACATACTTTGTGTAAAACTGTACCCCAACTTGGAAAGTGGGGTCTACAATTTTAGTTTCATAAAATTCTTTTAACAGTTAATGAAAAACAATAATTATCAGTAGGATTGCCACACAAGCATACAAGAAAAAATTCTGAGACTTCTATTGTAAACAGTTCAATGGATGAGAAAGTGCCAAATGACTATGAGGTATTGAGAATGCAGGCTGCATGGAAGATTGACTCTCATGCCTATCATGTTATATCCTAATCCATGTTGTAGCCATTTTTGATTAATATCCTTAACATAAATATGATCATATCATACATGCTACCCAATTTTTCTTTTCAACCCCTGCACACCCACTTTTCCTTCTCAGTTCTACAAGTAATCTATATTGGCAACTGGGTCGGTTTCCTCCCATGTTTGTCTCCATATTCACCTTCTCATATACATCTGATCCACTACTGGCTATTTACCCAAAGAAAATGAAAACACTAATTCAAAAAGATATATATATATACCCTTGTGTTTATTGTAGCATTATTTACAATAACCAAATTATGGAAATAGCCCCAGTGTCCATTGACAGATGAATGGATAAAGAGGGTGTGGTGTATATATAATGGAATATCACTCAGCCATAAAAAAAGAATGAAATCTTGCCATTTGCAACAACATGGATGGATCTAGAAAGTATAATGCTAGGCCAAATAAGTCAGAGAAAGACAAATACCATATGATTTCACTCATGTGTGGAATTTAAGAAACAAAACAAATGAACAAAGAAAAAAGAGATAAACCAAAAACCAGACTCTCAACTATAAAGAACAAACAGATGGTTACCAGAGGGGAGGCGGGGAAGGGGATGGGTGGAATAGGTGAAGGGGATTAAGATTACACTCATGATGAGCACTGAGTAATGTACAGAATTGATGAATCACTCTATTGTACACCTAAGACCGTATGTCAATTATACTGAAATTAAAAAACAAAACAAAACAGGGACACCTGGGTGGCTCGGTCCGTTAAGTGTCGGACTTCAGCTCAGGTCATGATCTCAGTTTGTGAGTTCGAGCCCCACGTCAGGCTCTGTGCTGACAGCTTGGAGCCTGGAGCCTGTTTCAGATTTTGTGACTCCCTTTCTCTCTGCCCCTCACCCACTTGCACTCTTTCTCTCAAAAATAAATAAAAATTAAAAAAAAATTAAAAAAAAAACCCAAAGCAAAACAAAAATACATCCCAGAAAATCTGTCCAAGTCAGATGGTAGAGCTTCAATTCATTCTTTTCAATGGCCGCTTAATAATTGACAGTGTTAGTGCACCATTTTTTATTACCTTATTTCTGAAAATTCATTTTGTTTCTCTCTCTTTTTTTTTTTTTCCAATAAGAGCAATGCTATAATAAACATTTTATTGGTGATTTTATTTTTGGGAGATAGATTCCCAGAAGTGCAGTTTGTTGGTTGATGTATCTGTGTACTATTAATTGTAAAAATATTTGTCAGACTGCTTTTCAAAACAGCTGTAAACAATTTACATTTTTTTCTCTTCATCCTGTGGGCAATTGGTATTATTGCTGTCTAATTTTTCTTTGATCTGATTGGGTGTAGAGTGATATGGTATTTTTTCACTATAATTTGCATTTCTCTAATTACTGGTTATTTTGAGCATCTTCATGCTTGTGGCTATGTGGGTTTGTTCTCATGAACTAACTCCCTTTCACATCCTTTACCCATTTGTCTGTGGGGCTGCTTGTCTCTTGCCAATGTTTAAGAGCTCTTTGTATATTGGTAATGATTACTAACTCATTATCTGTAATCTCTTTTGCAAGTATTTTCCCAATTCTATCCTTTGCCTATTCATTAGTTTTGTTTATTTATGATAGTTTTTGGTTTTTTTTGCGACGCGAATTGTTTTTAATTTTTATAAACTCACATATAGTTATCTTTTCTTTCTGGTTAAGAAACAGATCATAAATGTTGTTCCCTACGTTTCCTTCTACCTTTATGATGCTTTATTTATTATGTTAAGCATTTATTCCATCTGGAATTTGTTTTTTATTTAGAATATGAGACTGGGGACTATTTTCTACCATGATGTAACAGCCAGTTGTGCCAGCACTATTTTAAAATAATCGCTCTTTCCCCATCAAATTGAAATACATTTTTATCATGTATTAAAATCACATGTAAACTGGATTCTGTTTCTGGATTCTGGGTTCTGTTCTCTTTCCTTAATAGATCTGTTTACCTATTCCTAGACTAATACTCCATATTGATTTAATTATACTGGCTTTATAGGTTATTTCCCTTCACTATTTTTTTTTATTCATTTATTTGCTTTCTTGGGCATTTATTTTCTCTCTAAACTTTAAGATACTTTTATCCATTTGATTGAAACTATAGTTGTTGTTTTTTTTTAAACTTCCCTGCTTGTCTTACAAATATGCTTTTTAAAATAAACTTTAGGGGTGCCTGGCTGACTCAGTTAGTAGAGCATGCAACTCTTGATCTCAGGGATGTGAGAACCCCACATTGGGTGTAGAGATTACTTAAAAATAAAATCTTAAAAATGCCCCAACTTTACCTTTTAGAAGTTTTAGATTTACAGAAAAATTGTGAAGATACTACCAAGAGTTTCCATGTACTTCTCACCCACTTTCCCCCATTAAAATTTTATATTAGTACGATACTTATGTTACAATTAATGAACCAGTAGTGATGTATTAGTATTAACTGAAGTTCATAGTTTATTCAGATTGTTTTAGCTTTTACCTAATGTTCCTTTTCTCTTTAGGAGTCCATATTTTACTTGCTTTTTAATTTCACACTTTTATGGCATTAAGAGAATTGTTCTTAAATTTTCCCATCTAAGAATATGGAAGTCTTTTCATTTTCTCAGATTTTTAAATTTATCCTTCGGTATGGTTTTATGGCTATCATCATTAAGATTTTGTGCTTTCCTTGCTGACTTTATTCCTAAGTCTTTGTGTTAGTTTGGGCTACTGTAGCAAAGTCCTGTAGACTGGGTGGTTTATAAGCAAGAGAACTTTATTTCTCACAGTTCTGAAGGCTGGAAGTCTGAGATTAGAGTGCCAGCATTGTCGAATTCTGGTGAGAGCCCTGGCTGGGTTGTAGATTACCAACTTCTCATTCCGTCCTCATATGGCAGAAAGAGAGCCAATCAGCTTTCTGGTCTCTTATTATAAGGGCACCAATCCCATTCATGAGGTGTCTGCCCTCATCCTCATGATCTAACTATCTCCCCAAAGCCCCACCTCCAAATACCGTCACATTGGGGATTAGGCATCAACATGTGATTTGGGGTGGGTGGGGGGGACACATTCATTCCATAACAATATTTTATTGCCTTTTTCATGACTGTGTATGGAATATTTTTCCTATTTCTGTTTCCCATGCTATAATAGGGAAAGCCTAAGGACTTTTGTATATTTATCTTACATCAGAGTTACCTTATCAAATATTCTCATTAATTCTACTAAGTTTTTTGGGCGGGAGGGTTAAACTATAGTTATTGGGTTTTTTAAGTACACAAGTGTGTAATTAGCAAAAAATAATGTTTTTTTTTTTCATTTCATTTGCCAGACCCATCAAGACAATGTTGAATAATAGCAATAGTGGGTATCCCTGTCTGATTGTATTTGAAATGGTTTTGTTTTACCAAGTAGAATAGTTTGCTGTCGATTTTCATTAAATGTACTTTATCACATTGAATTTCACTTTGCATTCCTTGAATTAAGCTCTGATTGGTCACAGAGTGTTATTCTTTTGAATCATAGCTGAACATTACTTGTTAATATTTTATTTAGAATTTTTGCATCTATATTTATAAGAGGGATTATGGTTTCTTTTAAAAATTTTTCTTTACTATATTATGTTTTAGTGTTAAAATTTTGTTGGCTTCATAAAAT